TTCTATAACACTGAAATCAATCTTAACATCTCCATTTGTAATCTTACTATTTTCAACTAGTTTAATAACATCTCTGTTAATTTTATTTCCATAATTAAAAAAATCAATACATATTTTTTCCCATTCTGCAAGATAATTTTCAATAGGTAGCAAGTTACTACTATTATTTGAATCTAGATTGGAAACTATAATTGAATCTAAAAAAAAATATTTATAATTTAATTATACAATTGAATTATCATTAAAAATCAAATTACAGGTAATTAATTAAATATTTCAAGTGATAACCTTTTTTTTCCATTTTCATAACAATATTTCACTTGGAAGTATTGTTTTTTAAAAAGAGTGTATTTGTTATTTAAGAAAAATTGAAGTTTTGTTATATTTTGAATTCAAAAAATAAAAATAAAAAAGATTATATTAATTTTATAGAATATGATAATCACATGAAACGTGTTTATTTTGGCAAATCTTTGAATGAAAAAAGGTCATTATGCATACAATAAAAATTTTTAATATATGATGATGATTAAAGAATGATTCCAATTGTAGGACAATTGGATTGTAAAGTTTGTATTCTATACCAAAAGTTTTTATTGTTATTATTATTATGGGTGAAATTTTGCAGAGAATAGAATATTTATAATTTTAAAGGCAAAATAGAATTGCAATAATATTAATATGGATCATCATATGCATCCGACTTGGTATTGATATCAATATAGAATGATTATTGGCCTGTAATATTTTGGAATTCTATGAATTATAAACAAAATTAGTTGTTGAAAGTTGCAAAACCTGAATTTTTTATCTAATATTAACTCGTTCATATAATAGAACATGAGCCAATCAGGTCATACAAAAAGTTAAAAAGAAATATTCCCTTTTTTTTCAAGCGAATAAAAATAAATGATTGCCATTACTATTATTATCGTCATGATGTGATGTTGATGGTTGATACACACATGGAAGATTTCAGCGATCTTAAAGAAAAATATTAATTGACGATCCCGTCTATGAAATCAGTGAATTGAATAAGTAATAGTGATCGGCGGGGGAAAAAATACTAATCGGTAACCTTTTATAAAAAAAAGTTACTATACTTTTGTCTTGCAAAGATGAAATTTTTTTGTGCACTGATAAAATTAAATCTCAAAGAACATATTTATGTATTTTTTATTGACTTTAATTATGTAAAAAAGATTTTTTTTTCTTTATGATGAGTTGATTTTTAGAGTTTTGTTATTAATAAGAAAATTTTTATATGTTATTATATGTGAAGCAAGAATTTTAAAAATCCGTTATTTAATTATAATCCGCTGTGGCGACTGTATTTAAAAAATTCTTTGGTTGCACGAAGGAGATTTTAAAAAGGAATACCTTTTTGTAGATCATAAATGCAAAAAGTTTTTTTTTATGAACGATAAAATTGAAATTGAAGAGGAGGAGGGAGGAAACATTAACTATGAAAAAGCAAAATGTATACCCTTACCTACACAACAACAATTCTTTAGCGTAGAATATCCAGGATATGTAAAAAATATTGATAGAGTATTAAAAACTTTGGGGGGTCAAAAAGGATTGAAAAAGGTATAATAAAATTATCTTGGAGGACAAAATTAAATTCGGAAGTAACCTTTATTCTATTCATTTATTTATAAATGTATTGATTTATTCAAAGGCAATCAATGAAGATATGATGGAACTATGGTTTAGGCCTGATGATCCTTTTAGTCATCCAATAAATGGAAATGTTATACCAACATCTAATTTATTATTAAAAGTGACAAGGAGAAAACGTCGTTGTAAAAATAAAAATAATGATCAACAACAACAGGGGAGAGTAGAAGTAGAAGAGGAGGATGAGGAAGAAGAAATTGATATGAAAGATGTTAAATGTGAAGTAATAGGAATCATAAGTAAAACGTGTAGATTTAGAAGTAGGTAGGAAGACAATTAGGGAAATTGTGCGCGTAGTGACCATTTTATATACTGATTATTTTATTGAATAATAATAATAATAATATAGGAATTGCAGATTATCAATATATTCCAAACCCAAATGATTCTATACCGAAATATAGAAAAGCATTGGAGAATTTAGATGGTATGAAAAACTATCTCTCTATATTTATTTATTTATTAATATATTTAAATATTAAACTATTTTCTCAATAATAATTGTAATTTAATAATAATATTTAGCAAAGGCTATCATGAACTTTCAATCGGTTATAAATAATAAGCAGGAGGAAGATAATTTGCCGCCGCCTATCTTCTCCCGTATTGAATGTTCTATGGAATATGGGTAATTTATTATATACACGCACATGTTATCTATTGCGTATTATGGATATATTAATAATGATTATTAAAACATAGTTATCGACAACATATAACAGCATCAAAAGTATTAGTACAGGATAGTAGTGATCAGGTAATTTAATAAATATATATTTGGATACATTGGAATATGTTTGATGTGAAAAACTAATGAAGACTTTTATTATATTGTTAGGAATCTGAATGTAGCGAAGAATAATAATTTATTTAGAATTACTATTAATGTACATTATATAAGATTTGTGCAATTAATTAAAATTTGGTAAGGTTCAAAAATCATCTTTCTTATCTTGTATACCTTGTATTTTTGATGATGATGGTGATATAACACAAAAAATAAACAATCTTTTTGACCAATTAAATAACAATTAATATAAATGTTAATATTAATATGTCAACAAAATTATTCTTTTCCATTTCGTACATTTTAAGAAAATAAAGAAAATGGCATCCTTGAACCTTTATAAAAGACAAGAAAAACTTGTCTCCCAAAAGAAAAGAGTTCCAACATGTCTTAGAATTCTATATATTGCATCCTTCATGTTGCTCGGTATGTTTTTTTATATACCAACAATCACCTTACTTGAATACTTTAAAACATCTTCCACAATTCCTTTAATTCCATCGTCACCAATTTGCACAACTTCACAACAACACCTCTCGTTAACTGAGCCAACTACCGCCATCACCAATAAATACAATTTGGTAACAATGTGGGTTAATCATCCATTTCACGTTGACTCGACAAAAATTGTCATCAACAAGTATGCCGATGTTGCTGAATTGAAGAAACTCGTACGAGAAGAAATGAAACCTGCACTTGACCAAGACAGCTTGGGAAAAGTGTTACTTTTAACTAGATCTCATGGACGTATCAAACCAGACACCTTGGTTAAAGACATTAAACTTGGAAAAAAAGAAAAATTAATTATATACATTGATAATTTTGGTATGTATTTTATATTTTTTTAGGAAGATTAGCAGTGATTTATTTATTAATAATAAATAATAACATAATTATTTATCATTCGAAAAGATTTTCGATTGCATTTGAAGTCACTTACAAAAAACCAACTTCATTTGCAAGTAAACAAGCCATTATGTCTCAAGACTAATGAGGCATTTATATCGGTCGCAAGATTATTAATAGGTGAATTTTCACAAGAAGACATAATTGTTTTGAAGAAAAACTTATGTGGCTGGAGCATTGAGAGTTGGAGTTGAATGGATATTAGTATATAATAATAACAAATGTCATATTACGCATTTACACATTTTACAATTATACACACATTTGAAGATTTCACATTTCACATGAGTTTTCTTCTTTTCTGCATATATATAAATTTGCCATTATTACTTGTATTTTATGTTTATATATATTAAATTTTACATATATCACATGTTTCCTTCTTTTTTGCATATTAAATTTCTCTTCAATTATTACTTACCACCTTTCTATAAAATGTTTCAATAAATGTGATTGTTAATTTTAGTATTTTATATACGTACCTGTTTGTATATATTATTATGGATTGTACAGGTGGATATTAGGATTATATATTTATTATATTATTTATTGTAAATAATTGTTAGATAGTTTTTTTTTTTTATCCTAACTTTTAATTAATTAATTATCGTTATAAAATAAAAAATAATAGTCATGAAAATAATTATCAATTGAATAATCTTACTATTTTACTGTTTGAACAAATCTTTTTTGGTTTAGATCACATGCTGTATCATTAAAAGCGTTCAGAGACATGGTGATGTCAATGATCTGATCCGGGAGGGGAAAGAATCATATATATTTACTAACTAGCTACATGTATACTTATCAGTTAATTCATCGTCATCTTCAACATTTAAAGCGTTTTTAATCTATAATTTGAGTTGTTAGATAACAACAACAACAATAATAAAGTTGTGTATGTGAATGTAATAAACAATTTATTATAAAAAACAAATTATATAAGAATTTACCCAGACAAACCTTTTTAAAAAGATTTTATTCTTATTCAATTCTTAGAGATGAGCCATTAGATGTTTTTATCTATATTTTAAAATGTAATTTTAAATTATATAAATGTTGATAAGGTATATACTAATGTCTAGCAAAATTTGGTTCTCAACATAATATTTTAAACGTTGATTCATGTTGCAACTAATTTTTAATCTTTGCAGTAATGTAGCAAAATTTCTCAATCTATTGAAGAGTCTGAGAATTTTTTCTTTATAACGCCGGTTAGCCCATTTTTATTAGATCCTAATTCTTTTGGCTCCTTAATATTTACGTTATATTCACTGTTAAAACTTGTTTTTTTTTTCATCCGTATTGCTTAATTAAACAAATTATTCTCTAAAAATATGTTCATACATTATATATATAACCTTTTTGGGTTCTACTTCGCTCTTTTGCATAATTACTAAATACACCATATAATAAGAATTTTTTTCTTTATAAATTCTTGATCCACAGGGTTTGAAATATTAAGTTTCTGATAACTCTTGCGTTTGACCATCTTTAAGCATCATCCTTCCACCTATTTGAATGTAATAAGAACCATAGCAAGGCTGACAAGATTTATGAACATTGACTTTTGCTGAGTCATAAAATAAAACCTTTTCACCAACTTTGGATAAAGCCAAAATAATCAATAAAATTCATATTACCCTTTCTTTTTGAGGCCCTAGATTTATGATGAGAAATTATTTTTCAATTATGGAAAAGAATGCAAAATTCACTATCATTTTAATCCTTTTCTTCGTTATCTTCAATGGTTACAACCACATTTTCAGTAAAGATATGAAACTTAAACTTTTCAGTATAACTCTGAAGAGATAGTTTGAATCTTTTAATTATAGATTCTTTAGAATTCACTTTTTCGAAATTTTAATATGTAATTTTTTTTGGTATATATTTTCAAACAATTTGATATTGTTTGTAATATATAATCTTATTTATCGCCATCAGTCACTGGACATTGCAGATCAATATAGCATTGATATTGATATATTGAAGAAATGTATTGAAACAAAAAATGTTGAAGCATTGGAATCGGAAAAATACAGTTCAATTGACAACAATGATGGAAAAGGAGTATTTAAATTGATAAGGACAAATTAGAAAAGGAAGACCAGATAGTTAGTACAAGAGGACATGAAGGACTACTGGAAGCAACCAATACAAATTTATCTTCTGAAGCAATTACAAGGCGAAATAAGTGTAGATTGTGTAATAATATTGGTCATAGTCGTAATACTTGTCCCTTTAATAGTAACAGTATAATAAGAGGAAAATCATGGTGATTGAATTGGGTGGGAGGGGGTAGGGTGTGGAATGAATTAGTATATAATTTAAATATGTGCATATTAATATTAATATTCTTGATTAAAAAATAAATACGCCATGCGTAAAAAATTTAATTGCTAGTAATTTTTAAGTTTTATACACCCTACGTTTTTGTGCGGGTGCGCGGTAAACAAAAACCCACCCACACATAATAATAATAAATCGAATTTTACAATCTCTTTACATCACCATCCACCCACCGCATATATATCAAATTATTATTTATTTAACCAATAAGGTCTGAGATAAATAAATGAATATTACTATCCTGATCTGAACTAGTTGATGAAAAATGTAACAATTCAGCCTTCTGAATTGATTCATCTAGACAACTTGTATAGAATGATTCTGGGTGGTGTTTATATTTTTTGTATCTAAAAAGTATTTTTCTGAATTGATGATTTTTGTTGCTAATTTAATAATCTTTTTTCCCTTTAGATTGGTAATAATAATATTTTACAAACCATTATAAATTTCTTCAGCTATTGATCTATTTTCTGGATTATTATCCCAAGATCTTTTCTGTAATTTGAGGCCTCACTCCTTCTAAAATATTTAATATGAGATGAGAATTGTGTCCTCTATCATGAAAAAGTTTTTTCCCTGAAGTATGTTCCCATATTATCATTCCAAGACTGTAAATGTGCGATTCTTTTGTATATGGTTTTTTGATAATATTTCAGGTACCAGGTATGGAATGATTACAAAGATTTTATTTAGATTATCTCATTTAACTACTTTTTGACATAATCCCAAACCTCCTATTTGGCTATAATTAGGAAAGTATGGAAAAAATATTACCACTGTGCAAGTCATGATGAATGTAATTACTTCCATGAATTTTCTTCCATAAAAAAAAAACAATATATTATATTTACTACATATTAATGAATTCATGAAAGTTATTCTTTCAATCCTGATGTTTTGAACAAAAACGAATAAATTTTCGATTGCGTGAAATTGGGTATGATACGGTGATGTAAAAACAACTATCCTTTTATTATTATCATCTTTGGAAAACGAAAAGTTTTATTATTATTATTTTCAAATCATTTTGAGCCAGGACAAGCAAAAATGGCTCGCTAATGATGCTTCAGACGGGTTTTTTGTTGTAATGAACATGACTTTGCTAGTGAACCAGAAGGGCAATGTTAGGGTTTATTTACAACAACCAAAAACGCCAATCTATTTTTACACCATTACTAGTGGGCCAGAAGGGCGGTGATAAGCAGTATGACAGTTAATCATTATGAACTTGACACATAAGACGAAAGATATTTACAGAAAATTACTCACGCTTTTTAAGACTTTAGCATGTAACAAAAAAAAGACTGGTCCAAAAGGATTGATGGTTCAAGTCATCTATAAATGTCGCGAATTTTAAACTTTTAGAAGATCTTTCCATATAATAGTAATCAGATGAAAGGTTTTCCGTATCACAAAAAGCCGATCATCAACATTATTAACATTGATTTGATCAATAAGTAATTGCACTGCATCATCTATTTCAGGATCAACTTCCATAGTAATAGGTCGGTGAACTTCATTATCAGGTAGAATACCTGTTTTTTCCCAACATCTATATATAAATCACATCATCAGCTACATTTTCCCACGCTTTTGCACTCCAATCAATTGCATTCAAAATGTTTAAAATTGGAATTGGGGTTTCACATTCTTGTGAATTATCAAA